ATGCCCGGCATTCTAAGTGGGGAGACTGAGCAACATGTGTCTTTTCAGACCATTCAGGGACCATAAATTCTACCAAACAGCACCGCCTTTTCTGGCTTTGCAATTAAAATGGCACTTTACCCGTAAATGTAGGGCAGTAACAATAATACTATCTTGGGCTAAACTGGCATCTTTGTCTTAAGAGTTCATGGCACTTCCCTTGGAAGGAAGGGATAAGCGTAACTGTTTTCATTTTAGTGACAAAGAAATGAAGGGGAGAAGAGGGTGTAGCACAGTGACCATAGACACATGTATCAATATCAGACTAAACACAGGCCACGGTAGCTGGCAAATGCAGGGCAGTCCAGCAGCTGCTGGCCTCATCCAGCGTCAGAGGACTGGGCACAACAGACAAGGCAGAGGAGCAGGCAGGAACTCGAACTCAGAGGGCACAGCAGGAGGAGACATGTTACATATGGAGCTCCTACTTAATCCTCCTAAGGACCCTGTGAGTGGGTGTGGCTTTCATTCTACACGTGAAAAAACAGTCCCAAAAGTTCACCTATTCAGGAACCGAAGGGCAAGTTTGTCTGACAAAAGCTATGTGTCCTGCCCCCACACCAGCAGGACTTCTGTAACTTCAAAGGCTGAAATCCACTGCGTGGACAAGGCTGCCTTTAGCAACAGAGCCTCAGGGCTCCACCTAAAATTCAATTAGTTTAAAACTGCTGCCAGGAGCCACTGACACCTAAGGGCGGGGCCCATGATGGTCTCAGACTTTGGGGTGGCAGTGGGAAAAAGAAAAGTTACTTTATACATGAAGTCTAATTTTGGGTGCCTTAGCTAACCTTAATCCATTTCTTGTACTTGCTACAGAAAGCTCCTGTACAAAGAAGCTCTCATCTGCTTCACCATATATAGAATAAGCATCCATCACCAAGCGTCCTTTAAGAGATGACTTAGTCTTTGGCCCAAATGAATTGGGTCTATCACTTCAATAAAGGATGAAGAATTTCTTATTTTCAGAATATATAGCTGTGTTATTGACCTACAAAGGCCTGAGTGAGGCCTGCGGAGTGGTTGGACTGTGCTGGGCTGGGATTCATGTCTTTATACGTCACATGCATCTTTCTCATTAGCTGCTGCAATTGATTTTTTTTTTATTTAATGCTGAGGTAAAAAAATATTTCATGTAGTTAGCCATTTGCTACCCCACATATACTAGAAACATTTAAAAAGGAATTCATTTCTCCTTAGCGAGAAGCAACTCTCAACATGTAATAAAGATCAAAGAGATATTTTTTTAAAAAAGGTTGGCCAGCAGTTAAGTATATCACTGACTTTGTTTCAGGTTTACTGTATGTATTGCCAAAGTGAGCAGTCATTGATTTAATCTCTCTTCTTGCCCCAGTCTTTATATAAGAATATTAAGATACTAGAGGCTCGGTGCACGAAATTCGTGCACTGGGAGGTGGGGGGGGGGGTCCCTCAGCCTGGCCTGCACCCTCTGGCAGTCTGGGACCCCTCAGGGGACGTCCGCCTGTCTGGTTAGGCCCGCTCCCCTGTTCCAAGACGACAGATGGAAATCCCTCTCACAGTTCGGGACCCCTTGCTCTTTACCGCCCGCCTGCTCACCGCTCCTTACCACTCAGCTCGCTGCTCCTTAGCGCTGCCACGGAGGCAGGAGAGGCTCCCACCACCACCACTGCACTCGTCAGCCGTGAGCCCTATCTTTCTGTGTAGTTGTCTGTGGGCCAACTGCTCTCTTCCTTCTCATTTAGGGCGAGCAGCATCTGAGGGCAGAGCGTGCTGCCGTGGAACACAGAGGGCTACCTGGAGCTGAGAGGAGTGGTCGGGCCCTTGGGGTGAGAGGTGGACACAGAGGACGCTATCTCACCCAATTGTGGGACAGGCTAGCCAGCCTTCATCTGCCTGACCCCACCCAGGTTGGGGCCGAGCAGGGTGTCTGCCTCTCCATTCTCCATCCTTCTGTCTGTGACACCTGTACTCTTGCCAGGCCTCCCCCAAAGTGAGTTCAGCTCAATCCCTGAATGTAAAAGGACACGGGGCGGGGGAATCAGTGCCCCCTGGGAATCAGTGCCCCCTGATTCCCAGCGACAGGACCTGGTCTCAGGACGGTGGCCACAGCTGCAGAACATAGATCTGTTTCAAGAAAAGTTAAAGGTGGCAGTTTATTCACATTGTGGCAAAGACACCTTCAAGAGTAACATAAGTGGGTAAAGTCAGGGCCAAACCAGGCCATTTCCTCATCCAATCTCTCTGAGGCACGTGGACAGAACCAAGTCTCAGCTCTTCGCAGGACACTTCCGGGTGTTTTTTAGCCTAAAGGACAGTAGTCTGTCTCCATTCTTATTCTTTGGGATTTTTTCATCGTCGGATAAAAGGATACATACATTGGAGCAATTCTCTCGAAGTACAATATTCCAGTTGCACCCATGTGACGACGACAGCGCCCCTCAGAGGGAGGGAGCCAACAGATAGGGAGCAGGGAATTCTGAAAACCAAAGCAAAGGTTCAGAACACGGAAGAAGTCCTTGGTGTTCTGCTGAGAAACTTGGACTCCTTCCTCTGGTCACACAACTGTCACACGCCAGGCAGTTACTCAGAAATATCTTGGCATCGGCCAACTTATGGAATTCTCTCTTCTCTCCGTTCTCCTGAGCCGGACTCCAGACGTTGACTGCGGCATTCTCTTCATCATTGTTTTGTGTTTTTTTCCCCCAAAAACATTACAAAGTTTATATGAATATAACATACAAAGATGCAGCCTCCTTTGTAGGAACCGGGAAGGAAGGGGTGGTTAAGTAAGGCACATGGAGCTGCAGCAAGCACCAGCTGTGGGGAGGGCCAAGGGGGAGAGGAGGTTGGCACTGGGACCGAGGCCCTAGAGCCGTTGCTGGAGAAGTAGGGATCCCCTCTGAGTGCCACGTTCTGAACTGAACTAATTGGTCAAGCTGAGGCAGAGGTGGGTGGCCATATCAGCCATCTTTGGTGCTGTTTACCCTTTCCCACCCCAGCTCTGTTGTAAAACCCCAGAGCCCTGGATTCCAAAGTGAGTAGGGCAAGTTTGAAAGCCGATATGCCTGTGTGCTGAGGGATGGCCGGAGACAGTGGTGAGAGGTAGCAGGGGAAGGGCTCTCATACGTACCCTTCTGTGGGGGCCACAGGTGAAGGAGGCCAGGGGAGTAGGGTAGGGATGGGGCACCATGGCCTCAGCCTCTTAGGCATCCCTGTCTGTCCTCTGCAGTGTCCATGGAGGAAGGGGCTGCCTCTGAGGAGGGGCCAGGCCAGGCCAGGTGAGCATCTAGAGTTCTGGCTGAGGTGATGGTCCTCACCCTGCGATGCCTTCTAACTGGTGATGGACCCCGGGCTGACTCTTGCCAGCGCCACTGCGACCCAGGCCTGACTCCGCTGCCGAGACCCAGATGTTCAGTCGTCTGTCCAGTTGTGACAGCATTAGGCTATTATTAGTATAGATTATATAAGCAATTATTAATCCAAAGTATTTTGTTAATGTCACATGGGTTTTTCACTGTATTAGAGGTTGTAGGAGAAGTCAAAGAGACAAAAGAAACCGTCCCTTCCCAAACGTAGGATGACAGTAGACTCCTCCACCTTGAGTATGGCACATAACAGGTTTCAGTAAGAGTCACTGCCTTGCCCGGCCCGTGTGGCTCAGTGCTTGAGTGTTGACCCATGAACCAGGAGCTCATGGTTTGATTCCCAGTCAGGGCACATGCCCGTGTTGTGGGCTAGATCCCCAGTAGGGGGCATGCAGGAGGCAGCTGATGCAATCAATGATTCTCATCATTGATGTTTCTATCCCTCTCTCCCTCTCCCTTCCTCTCTCTGAAGTCAATAAAAACATTTCTTTTTTTTTTTTAAAGAGTCACTGCCTTTCTGCCCACCTCTCCTCCTCAGGAGAAGTACCCTCCTGTGGAAGTGGGGAGGTGGTCTTGTGATAAACCCTTTGCTTGATGGCCTGAATAAAGGTCTAAAGCCAGAGCCCCAGTCTCAGCACCTACCTTCCCCATGCCTCCTGTTATGACCTACAAGATGAGAACAGAACCTGCCTTCCGTGCAGTCATCCAGAGATGTTTTTATGGTCCAGAATAAGAAGGGCTATAGAACGGCAAAGTTTTATTTATTACTATTACTCAGCAGGGAGTAATTCCCAGGCCTACTCTTTTGGGCCTGAAAAACCTGGCAAGGGCTCTTCTGACTCTACCCAAGACTGAGCTCAACTCTGAGCATAAAGATCAGTCTGCTTGGCTTGAAGAGTCCTTATCATTATGCCCTGAACCATCCACTAGCTATCCTTAGAGGCTAAGAAAAAGCTTTAAAATCCTCTATGACCTTCTTCTCAGCATGATTTTCTAAAAATTATAAAATGTTCATCTTGAAACATAGGTAGGCATACTCTGCTGGTTGGGTCCAAAAGAAATAGCATGAGCTGGGATAAATGAGATGTTACTAGAAACCTGGGCTGTTTGTGGACTCCTAGAGAACAATTGTCTTCTAGAAAATAGCTATAATATCGTTAGGAATAATTTCCCTTCAAAGGCCCAGGGAAAACATGCCAATTGGACTTTTACAGAAGAAAGGTTTATTTTGTTTGGTACAAGCAAACCAGCATTACTTCCAAAGGCTGGGTAAGAGCTGTGCAGGTCAGTCCATGGGGTGACACTGCCACCTGGTGGTGGGCACACACTGCAGCACGCGGAGCTCAGCAATGGGAACATTACACATTCTCTCTGTTCACAGTATAACCAGAACTATTAAAAAAGAAACCACGTTTCCAGAACAGCCCACCCTATGGAGAGGCTAATTCTTCTAGAAATGGCCCATAGTAAGAAAAGAAATAACTAAGCTTGGCATTTACTGTGTGATATGAGCTAAGCACTTTTTCTATCCACTCAATTCTTAGTGCCAGGTGTACTGAAGCATGTATTTTTTATTTTTTTTAAAGCTTGACTGAAAAAAAGTCGGAAACATTTTACTTCATATTACACATACTTCTTGTTTATAAAAAGGCAGAAACATTTAGGGTAACAACACTTAACAGGAAAAAACCTTGAGCTAGAGGACCTTGAGAATCAGTTCTTAAATGTTTTGCTTTCACATAGTCTTTTTCATGGTTGCTTGTGTCATGTTGAAGAGATAAGCTTCGTAGATTATATTTAAGAAGTTGTCGTCATTCTGGAAAACAAAACCAAAAGACCCAAAGGAATGTGATTGGGGGGCAGGAACAAAAGGCTTGCCCTGTCTTGGAGCTGGCCTGGCACTTTGAGCCCAAGATGCTCATCTCTCCCTGTCTGTCTAACAGCTGGCAGTTTTAAAGTGCACATGTGAATGGTAAGTGGGGCTGAGGCCAGGCCAGATGAGTCCGCTGTTGTTTTTCAATGGCCAGCATGTCACATACAGCACAGACGGGCTGCCCAGCTATGTGTGTATGGAACAGGGCTCACTCATGAGAAGCCTGGGTTTGTTGGTCCCCAGCAGATGGCTGGATAGGAAGGACTTGATCCAAGTCAGTGGTTCTCGATGTTTGGTTAGGAGACTGCTAGCGAATACTTTGTTTTTGGCATTAGTTAAGACTTTACTTGCACTGTGCATCCTTGGTATGTCAAAGCCGGTATAATTCTCCATTAGCTATGGAAAGTTTCTGGCCTTGGCAAGTGGAGAGCAGTTAGACCAGCAGTCTCTGGGCTCTTCTGCCTGGCTAAGGGCTGATGGAGAATCACGGGTCTAATCAGTGGTTTTGTTTTTAATGATGGAGACTTCTGCTTCCCACCCAAATCCTTTAAAGCTTTAGCAACTCACCCACATTGCACATTCCCTCTTGGCACCCACACACACAGTTAGCATTATTCTCACGCAATGAAGGAGAGCTACATATCCCTGTTTTTCTTACAAAGTGACCACAAAGTCCCTACTGTGTCCTACCAACAGGCAAACACTAAAAACAAACTGCTTAGTGACTTCTAACAGTTCACCAGGAAAGTATGTCTAAACGTGGAAAAAGTATGTACGCAGAGAGTGGGGGAAACAGCGCCTAACATTGTACAGGGACTGCTCTAGGCTTTCAGTTTGGCCCCTGCACAGAGATCTTTGGAACAATGTGATTAAATGGAATGAGCCAGAAGAAATATGAAACTTTAACATTTAAATATTTTCACTTTATTGTTCTCAGATGTTCTATCTAAGTCCGTATGAACTTATCATAAATGGCTTTAAAAGGTGGAAACTGTTGGCATCCTGATATTCGTGACCTAGTAAAGCATGATCATTTGTTGCCCCTCTTTAACAGATAGTATTCCACTTTCTAGCCCAATTCCTTCCATTCTCTCTAAAATACGTCACCTTAAAAAATGTTTTTACTAATAGAGACCGTTTTCTTCTTAAGATGAGACAGCTGCAGAAGTGCTAGCCTGCTCTCTAAAAGCCATCTAAAAGCCTGCTCTCTAAGCCAAATATCACAAAAGTTTTCTTAAAGACTGTCTATCAAAAAAGTACCTAAAGATGTTAGCTGAGGTGTGTGAAGTCTGGGAAAAGCATCCCGCTTTCCAAGGCCTGCCGCTTATTTGTGGATGTGCTCTGCTGGGCAGACAGCCCAGAGGCTGAGTTACTACTGCGGCCCCCACTGCGGGCAGCAGGAAGGAGCGCTCTGGAGCCAGACTGGGGTTGGAGCCCAGCTCTGCTATTTACTAGCTGTGTGACCTCAGTTTCCTTGTCTCTAAAATGGAAAAATGATAGTGTTGCTGTATAAGGACTCAATGACTTAATGAAAGTAACGCATTGTAACAGTGCCTGACACAGCTCTGTGTGTCAGCTGTTATTATCTCATAGAGACAAAACCCATGGCTGCCAAAGAAGTCCCGTCACTCTATCCTGTCCTAATTAGCAGGCTTCAAATTATTTGTAAAACAGCCCTAGTATCACAGCCATTACTTGCTCTCCTACCTGCCGGCTCCTTGCTCTACAGTCTGCTTGAGCTCTCCACTAAACACCAGCGACTGCGCAGACAGCATCACCTCTACTCCCAGAGGTGAGCTCTCGGTTTGGGTGCCCACAGCATCTACGGTCCTTAATTATAGTTTCTGCTTCCTTCTTTTCTGACAGGTGACAGACTGGAGGACTTAGTCCTCCTCCAAATTACAAAATCCTTAAGGCGTCAAGTCACCTAAAGCTGCAGTTAGTATTCTGAATCTCACCCAGCCAAGTACAGAGCCACTGTGGTTTAGGGTGAGTTGTTACATCGCTCTCTTATTCCTGGGCAGTTCTATGTGGGCACTTGCTAACTGAGGCCTTATCTCAGAGTGGCAACCAGCTGGGGAGCAGGATTGGCAGAGGTAAGAAGAGAGACGATGGCCCTCCTACCTGAATGAGGAACAGCAGTGCTTCCTGAAGCTGCAGCTTGGTAAGTGGGCTGAGTACAGAGGGCTCTGGGCTCTGCAGAGGCAGGAAGAGGCTGGTGGAGGCGGCAGCTGGTTTCTGGCTTCCCAGGGACAAGAGCCCACTGTCCCTCTCCTTTGATGGGCTACAGGTGGGTTGTGTGAACACCATGGGGGACATGAGCAGAGAAGGAGCAACTGTAGCACGGATGCACTGAGGTGAGATGACCTGCTCAGAGCAAATACATACAAAGAGGGCAGGTGTAAGTAGCAACTCATTGATACAACAGGTACAGAGACAAAGAGGCCACTCGCTTGCAAGAGTGGATATCGGTGAACTTAGATCCGAATTGTTCAAAATTTCACTAAATTGGAAAAGCTCAAGGAGAACTGATTCCTGTTCAGTTCCCCACATATTTCCCTTGTCCTTTCTAAGCAGCTCTGGCACAGTCCGCTCTGGTGGCTGTTGTTCCCTCTGCATAGAGTGCTTGGCCTCTGAGCAACACTTTATTTTTCTGCTTTACTGTCATCCCTTGGCAACATGCATTTAGGACTGCTGGCCTTTTCCTCGGGGCTAGTTGTCTACTACTCTGACCTACAGCTCCAACAACATACATGAGTTGCTGGAGGTACACACGTTTCCACTCGATGTCCCTATGGAGGAACTGCTGTGCGAGTGGTCCTCCTCACTACTGCTCACCAGGAGGGAGGCATGATTCCCGGCTCCATCTCTCCTGGGTCCTTCCTGATGGGATCTGCCTGCCTGCAGAGAGCACACACTTCCTGCTTTTCCGTGCTCAAGTGGCTGGGGCAGGTCCTGGGGCTGGTCATGCCAGCACTGCCAGTGACTTGTCTGTCTGGGCGAGTCTGTCTACCTCACTTGGCTAACAAATACAATACCAGCAGCTTTTGCAGTTATGCAAGTGACACTTTGATCCCTGTCTCACTGATGCCTACAGCTCTCTCATCTGTTTCTAACTCAGGTGAGAAAATGTTATTATCATCCTAAAGCTCCATAAGAACTCGAGGAGGGGTGTAAAGGCCAGTGATCATGAAGCTGCTGTAATTTTATAATCGTTCCCTTGGTATCTTTTTGGGCAGAAACCAGCCTTGAGGAAGGCAGGCTGTTACCTATCGCACTGCTATTCTGAGGAGGGTGCCTGAGGCGGACGCTCCCGAAGGAGGATGGCCAGCACCGTGAGGCTGACAGTGTGCACTCTGCTCCTCGGCCCCACACCTGTGAGCACTGGAAAGCCAAGACAATTGTGCGTGCAGACGTTTACGTCCAAGTATCAACCCCAATTTTCCTAGCGTCAGATCTAAACCATCAAAGAGAAAAGGGGACAAGATTACACTGAAACAAGGATGAGTGACAAATACTGTTTCCATAGAAATAGGTACTCAGATTTGAGATTTTATAAAAAATAACACAAGCTCTGTGACTCAGTGCCTCACAGACACAAAGACTTATGCTCCATGCTTATGATCTTGGTTTTCAAAGAGTGGAAGATTTTGCTGGCTACTTGCCAAAACATGACAAACAACCAATGATGAGATATGTAATAGGGAGAACTTCCTAATTTTTAAACCTATTGCATTTTCAATGAATTTGTACTAATCCAAATGAGAAAACAGTCCAATCTCCAGATGTTACCCATGGGCAATGGAACAGCTTGTGGTTTTCTCTGTTCTAAGTTACTGATGAACATAGAGATCATCTTCCTTAAAGGATAAACAATTTCTAAAAATTACAATATTTTCCCCTCTCTGGAAATGTTTGTTTTTGGTGGGTGGCGGGGGGGGGGGGGGAGGGGCACATGGCATACTTATCCCTCTCTCCATCTTCATTAAGCTATGCAGAGGATGCAAACTAAAACAGGCGGCCTTGGCAGAGTAATGGCACGTTTCTCCCATTGTCTCCCCCGCCCCAGGCCTGGGGGCTCTGCAGAGGCAGCGTCTGTGCTCCTGACCACTCTGCACCCATGTGTAGCACAGTGCCTGGGAGGGAGCAGTGCTCAGAAATATTTACTAAATAAATGCATGAGCAACAATTACTTAGACTAAAGTAACAAGAGGAGGTCAGACATTTCACATCCCAGAATGAAGATTAGGATCCCCTACCATGTCTATGTTCTTTCCCACATCCACGTCTTCAGGCCTGATAAATTGCAAAGATTTAACTCTACATATAAAGTATCTGAAAGGAGGGAAGCTCCCAGATTAAGCAAAGCAAAGATTCTCTTTCCAGGCAGGAAGTTAAGGTGATACAAGATGCACAGAAGTGGCTTTGCAACACTGTTCAGGACAGCTATGTCCCTAGAGCACAGAAGCTGACTGCATTTCACTGCATCACAGTAATAACCCCCACCCGGTGGATATTTACCTGGAAAAGGGGAGTCTGCTTTTCCGTGCTGGATGTCTTGTCAACCCAGGGTTCCCAGGGCTTCCCTGCTCCAGAGCTCTGAGTTGGCACAGGGAACTTCGCTGCCAAGGCTGGCCGGTTAGACATGTGCAGCTGCTGCTCCTGCTGCACCAGCTGAAGCTTTTGCAGTAACTCTTGAGGGGAGATCACTCCAGAACCACTAGTCTGACTGCCAGAAAGGGCGAGCATTTGTCTGGGGCACGTGGACTGATCTTTTTCATGAGCCTGATGTCCTAGTGCCTGAGGTGGAAGGGAGCCATTGAAATGTACCAGTGGCGGCTGAGCCACCGCCTTTACTGGAGCTGCAGGGGTGGCAGCAGGGAGGGCTGTGAAGCTCAGGGCTGCTGGGCCGGCAGGTGCTGGTGCACCAGGGTCGTACTTGTTCACTGCCCCTGGGGTGCTCTGGAGCTTCTCCAGCAGGTTCTGAGTTCTGGAAGCACCATGGACTCGATGGGACGTCCCAAAGCTCTGGGGAGAGCCCAGGAGGACAGGTCCAGTAAAGTCCTCCCCAGCAGGAGGCTCGCTGCCATTTTTGTAGGGCTGGTTTTCAGGCAGCTCTGACAATGGGTGGAGGTCTGCACTCCTGACCAGGAGTTTCTGGATGGCTGGACACAGCTGCTTCTCGGTGGGGGGTGAGTGTCCTTTGGGTTCCTCATAGGACAGGGAACGGATAACCCCCTGCCGAATTGGAAGTTTCTCTTGCTGCTGCTGGTGGAGGGTCTGGGCAGGCCCCACAGTTTCCTGACATGTAGCTTTGTCCTGCTTCCCAAAGAGTGCTGTCAAGGACAAGTGTTGGGGTTCAGGGTCTAAGGTCTGAAAAAATAAAAATGTCTCAAAATGGATCTACGTACAATTGGTTATATGGGGGCTATGAAACATAATTCACCTAATCAATAGTTTCTTCTATTTATAAAGGATTAGAGAGTATAAAAAACTTAATTATAATAAACTTCACAAAATTGAGACCTTAATGCCAATAATTTTCAGAGCATTCTGCCCTACTATGCTCAAGATAGCTGTTACATTTTAGTATCTGTTGAATGATGAAATAGGAATATGAGCTTTGATAGATTGGGAACCACTATGGTACAAAATTATATACACCAGAAGGTAAATAATCTCTTCAACAGGAAGTCCATCTAACCCTGAAAAGTATAACATCCTGAGATTACACAGGAACATGAGGATTTCAGAATTCCTGGTAGCTTTTCGCACAATTATAGAAATTTAGGGTGAGAAAGAAACATGTCAGTTAGTCTAACTTGATCCTTTCAACTGTGTGAACTCTGAGAAGAAAGATACCTCCTAAATAGCTAACAGGGCTCAATTTTTTTTAAAAGGAGCCTACAAGCCATTTCTACCCAGGGGCCTCTGACACAAATTGCACTTCATGGTAAAGCCTGCACTCTATTTCTGCCATCTGAACCAGCCCTTATAAAGGAGTTCCTGGAATCCTATTTCGACCAATGGGATGGAGGCTTTCCCCATCCAATCAGAGCTGTGTAGTTCTGACCAACCAGAGTGGCACTATTGGTACTTTTTGGACCAATCAAATTCCAAGGATTTGGAGTCCTCATTTGCATGAGGACAGACCAATCAGGGACCAGGGGCAGGGACTTCTGTCTACACAAGCCAGCTCCCCTCTGGCTCTGGGAGCGCACTTTCCTCCTTCCATGGGAGACTCAAGACTCTGTTTCCCTTGCTGACCTGAAATCTTGAAGATGTCTTACAGGAGCAGAGCAGACCAGCACAGCAAAAAGCAGATTGGCACAGAGTAGAGCAGAGTTGTCCAGCTCTGGGCCCAGTGCTGCCTGGCCCAGGGCTGCCTCACAGCCATGCTGTACCACAATTGGGCTATTCTGCACTGAATAAAGTTTCTTCTTCACTGCACCCCAAATTGAGGATTCCTGTTCGCATTGAATTGGTACAAACTACTATTGGTTGACAACTATATATTAGTAGCTTTAAAAAACCATCAAATCAAAAAATCTACCTTGGCCCCGCCAGTTACAATCCTGCTCTATATTATCTCTGCCTCTTTCTGTTGCTTTCTGTATTCTTAGGCTAAGATAACAGGAGCTTCATTCTCAAAACAACATACTCTCACTTCTCTATTAAAATAACAAATTTCCATGGAAAGCAAACAATAAAAGTAAAATATAATTAGAAAAGACTTATTTTTAAAAAATTCAATATGAGACTTTGAGACTTTCATTAGCTTATCTTTGTCTTTTGGTTCCATTTCATTTTTAAAATTAATTTAAACCAATTCCTTAAAAAAACAAACCCAAAACCTTTAATGAGGCATAACACCTAGAAATGGAAACAGCCACATTATATTTACAATAAAAAATGGGACTTATACCCTGGCCCGTGTGGCTCAGTAGCTTGGGTATCATCCCATGCACCACAAGGCTGCCAGTTCGATTCCCAGTCAGGGCACAAGCTGGGTTATGAGCTCAATCCCTGGTGGGGGTGTGTGCAGGGGGTAGCTAATGATGTTTCTCTTTCTCCCCCTTTCTTTCCTCTCTCCCTAAAAATCAATTTTAAAAAATCTTAAAAAAAATATAATGGGGCTCATAGATTAGTAATTTTGTTAATGCTTTACTATTCTGAAATATATATTCATATATGTATATATTCATTCAAAAACTGCTATCATAATGAGATGCAAATACAATGACAAATCATCAGGTCTAAAAGGGACTTTATACCATTCCTTAGGACAGGAATCCCATTCTGTACACACAGTGGCCTGGCATTATACCTGGTACAAAGGAAGTGTTCAGAATTGTTAAACTGAATTTTGTTGTCTTGGCTGCTTTGGGAAACCAACCATGAACCTCAGCAGAATATGGGCCTCTTGGGTAATATTCCTGTTAACTCTGATGATGTTATTAGTTTGTTTTTGTTGTTTTTTTGTTTGTTTTGTGTGGTTTTTTAAAAAAAACACATTATCCTGTAAGGAGTTCAAGTCCATAAGAGATTATGGTAAATGCCAAAAGTAAAAATGTTAACCCCTTTTGAGGAAAAGTAAATTATTAATAATAAAAGAATCTCTAATTTGAAATCTCTTTTTTTAAAATTTACCCTAAAGGATCCTCAAACAGGACCAGGCCCTCCTCCCTCGACTATCCTCTGGGTGAAAGTTTGTCAAGAACCTTGTACAGACACCATAATGAAAAGCAGAGAACAGAGTACCTGGCTGGGCTGAGGTACGCGCTGCTGCTGGTTTTCACTGGGCTTCACTGGAATGGGTTTGATGAGATTGGGGTTGTCATAAATGGCAGATGAACTGGTTATCTGTTTTGGCTCAGAACAGGTTTTACACTGAAATAGAAAAAAGAACCGTATTTTTGGTGTAAAAGAAGCTTTTTTTGGTGTAAAAGAAGCTTTATTCTTTTAAAAAGAACATACCTTCCTTCTTGTTCTCTATTTTATTTCATTGGTAGCTATTTTTTGGTAGAGTTTTATGTACAAAACAAAATCTCTTAATCTCTTTTATATTTGAGTATAAATAAAATTTATTTATTTTTTTAGTTACACAATTCAGTGCCCTAAAATATTACTAACAGTATCAGCCTGCAAGACCTAGAAGGTCTTAGATACCTGGATACTTTAAAGGCTATCTATATACTTAAGAAGTAATAGTTTAAAAATATAGAAACTAGTGATTTTTAATGATAAATAATGACACAAACTATTCCTTAAATACCATGTCTGGATTGCAATAGGGTTTTATTCACCCATTAGCAACTGATTTCAAGTTGGAGAGTTCCAACATCAAAGTAACTAACCCTTTTTGGTCTACAAACCAAAAAGTAAAGCTGACTCAAACTACTGATTTAAAAATTACTAACATCATCTTTATTTAATAAGTGACTTTTTGGATAAACAGAATAATTCAAATCTGAGTGTTCTGAACCACTCACTACAAATTAGAATTTCACAGAGAAAGAGACGAGACATGCCTCATCATTTCAAATACCGAATCATTATCATACATCAATCTAACCAACCATGCAATTATCAACATAGTAGGATTCAAAACAGAAAGAGCACAGCAGCAATGTTGGCATCTGACTTGTTACAAATAAAACTGAGTATAAAAACGCTCCCTTCCGTACTACAGACTCTCTATAGCATTGTTGGTTTCAATTGTACAGTCAAGGCCCCGGGTCAGGAAATATTTCACACTGGAATGTGTGACAAATACAATATTGTCCCTCAGAAACCCAAGGTTCCCAATGTGTCTTACAGTTATTGGATTGTATTTTCTAATTCAAGGATAGAGAGGTGTGGGTCAATTACCACCATGTTCACTTAGGTTTATAAAGTGAATTGTACGAACGACTAATTATTTTCTTTCAAGAATTCTGTAAATAATTGGGATTTGGCACTAGTATTAAATGGGATGTGAAATACTTTATGAATCATAAAATGTTATTTCTAATTCTTCTGAAGTGAATGATGGTGATTAGTGGCATGGACCAACAGGACTGGCTTTTCAAGATATGGCTAAGCAACACAAGACAAGAGTATAGCCTAAGACATAGTCACTTACAAAATTTTAGCACGGAAAGACTTTAACTTCTGCTTGCGTTTAAAAGAAAAGTGGATGCTTAGCTTACTTCCACCAAATGACCCTTCTGTACTCCTTCATTCTCTCTATGTTCAGGGACCTTGAATTTTAAACTAAGAAAAAACAAACAGATTTTTCCCACCTTCACTATGCACATATCTCTGTCTTTTGCTTGCATAACCCCAGATGGACTTTTCTAGGTAAAATTGCTTTCTATGTTACTGCAATTGTCTACCTATCTATGAATCCTTGCTTGTATATGAAAATAGCTCTCTATAAAATTTCTCAGAATTAAACATCATCCACCTCAATAGTTTGTAGCTCATTTTCCAGTTGTTTAATTTTATATTCTTCTCCGACCCAAATAACTTTAAAATACTTGGAAAAAAATCACAGTTTTATAAAAAGTGTATAATGGATTCTTCACAGAGAACAAAAACTATGTCACATAATTCTAATTTATCACATACAAACACAAACATATTATCTATGCCAAGAGAAGAGTCTGAAAGGAAATATAACCAAAGTGTATTTGGCTTTACAGGGTGGTCTTTTTATTTTTTTTCTTTTAAAATTTTTATTTATTTACTAGAGCCTGTGAGTGCACTGGTGGGGTCCCTCGGCCTGGCCTGTGCCCTCTCGCAATCTGGGACCCTTCAGGGGATGTTGGAGAGCCGGTTTCGGCCCGATCGCCACAGACCAGGCCGAGGGACCCCACCAGTGCACGAATCTGTGCACCGGGCCTCTAGTATGCATATAAGATCTTTGGTTAATTTCTTTCTGCCCTCCCCCCATCCCCTTCCCTCTGAGATTCATCAGGCTGTTCCATGTTTCCATGCCTGTGGTTTCTGCTCCTGCATTGAGTCTCTGCCCCTTGGTGGTCAGTGTGCATCATACCTACTGGATGGCCGGTTGGCCGGTCGCTTAGGCTTTTATATATATAGATTTTAGAGAGAGCGGAAAGAAAGAGAGAGAGAGAGATCAATTTGTTGTTCCACTTATTTAGGCATTCACTGATTGATTCTCGTATGTGCCCTGACTAGGGACTGAACTTACCACCTTGACATATCGGGATGATGTACTAACGGACTGAGCTAACCAGCCAGGGCTATTTTCTTTTTTGTTTCTGAATTTTTTCATTGAACATCAAAAGACACTTAATAATTTCTTTAATTTCATAAATAGATCTCAGAAATATCTAGAAGAGAACAATTAATTCTTGCCTAAAACCATAAAATTCAAAATAGTCCACTTTTGAGTAGTAAGGACCTAACTATGTAGCTTACAAGTCTGGTCTGGTTCATTTTCTTCCTGAGCTTTGTTATTTTATGGCTCATTTGCATCTCTACAAGAGGGAAGGAGGTAAAGGAGATGCCACTCAAATTAATATCATTGCTACTTTACAGAAAACTCATAGGAAGTTATTTCTTAGGGAGAAAGCATAAAATATTAACCCAAAGAAGTGTTTCAAATTATTTTATTAACTTTACATAAAAAGTTGTATCTGGTACCACTAGGCTTCATTTATCAATATCATATACCTATAGCATAAAAATGTTTCCTCCTCAAACTTTTTGGAATTTTCATGAACTTAAAAATTTTTGAGTTGGAAAAAATCTCAGAAGTCATTTATTTAGTTTAACACACAGAGAAGTAAAAAATTTTTTATACTATCCCCAGTATGTAATCATTCAGTCTCTTCTTGAATACTTCCAATAATGGAAAATTCACTTCCTCATAAGAAGAATTCTGAGGTAAATAAAAAGATGCAATGGATGTTAATGGAGGAGCACAAACATCTGGTGGGTGGATCAGAAGTAACATGATGGGCAAAGAACATGTGAAATGGGCCTTGAAAGACTGATGATATTTTATAGGTAAATGAGAGGGAATAGCATGGGAAAAGGCATGAAGGCACTTTTAGGAAGCAAGATTGTTATTCTGTTTGGTAGGAGTTTAAAATATTTGTAGGGGGCAGTGGGAGTAGAAGGTATTGGGTTAGAAGAATCATCTGAGCCCAGCTGCTGGGGCTCAGTGGTTGGATTCCTGGTCAGGGCACTTGCCTGGGTTGTGGGCTCAATTCCATATCTCATCATTGATGTTTATATCTCTCCCTCCCTCTCTGAAATCAATAAAAAATATTTTTTAAAAAGAGTCTACAGGTTCATAGATACTAGGCAATGAGAAAACAAGGATTTAGGCCAGAGCAGTACCATGATCATACAAGTTACATTACATCATCTGGCTGTTAATGGCAGAAAGAATAATTTCTTCTGTTGTTTACCTCACAGTTGGAGCAATTGACATTATGTCTATAACATATTTGATTGAATATCTGCACTTCTTGTCAACATTGTAAGAACCCATCTGTGGGAGCATAATGATGAACAGAACATTGTTTTGACCTCAACAAGTTAACACTGTTGTGGGAGAAGTTGACTTAACTGTAAAAATTGAGAAAGAACAAAGTAAGTTCTAAATACTAATAGATGGTGAGTTCAATGGAAAAAATAATTAATTTGCATGAAGTAATCTGGGAAAACGCCACGTAAAAAGTGGCATTTTAACTGGTCCTTGAAAGATATGTAGAGTCTGAAAGACAAGCAAAATGAGGGAAAACCATTCCAAGTTGTAGGTACAGTATAAAGAGACGTCTCCAAAGCCATGAGTGCGTGTGTGAGTTCCATGTCATTTCATGAGACACTCAGGTGTAGCTACAGGAGGCAGCACTGGAGAGGCTCAGGAAACAAAGTTTATTACACTCACAGGTCCTAGAAGCAGGAGGCACAGCCCCCCACACAGGCCACATGGGGAAGTCTCTCGGTGGTCCGGAGGGAGCGAACAGGAGCAGGGGAAACCAAGGCTAAAGCCTTTTGCTGGGGTTTCTGCCCCCTAGGACTATCTCCTTTGAATCATTTCAGCAGGATATTAACCGTAGGGGTGGTCCCTAGCTGCCTGACCCGCCCTGGTAGGAGTAAGGCAGAGGAATATTGCTTCCTGGTGTACACAGATCAGAGAGTGGAGGGATGGCTCAGGATAGTTAGTTTGCATATGAAGGCATGTTTCTGGCTGGGTCCTTTGTTTCCTCTAAGAACTGGCAAGCTCAGGGAGGTGCAGTCTGTCCCCAATTAGAAGATTGTTAAGGTGCCAAAACATTCTATATAATAAAAGCCTAATATGCAAATCGACTGAATGGCAGAATGACCGGTCACTATGACACACACTGACCACCAGGGGGCAGATGCTCAACGCAGGAGCTGCCCCCAGCCCGCAGGCCCCAGGACAGCCAAGGCGGGTGCCAGTGGGGGCCCCTGATTGCCCCGCTAGTCACCCCACAGAGGGAGGCAACCAGCAGCGGTGATGGGGGGTGGGGCTGGCAAGCGGGCAGCGCCAGGCCGGCCAAGGTTGGTGTCAGCGGGGGTCCCACCAGTCGCCCCACAGATCAGCCCTGATCGCTGGCCAGGCCTAGGGGACCCTACCTGTGCATGAATTTCATGCACTGGGCCCTTAGTTATAAAATATAAACAGTACAGTGTGTGTGTCTGTGTGTGTTTTTTGAGAGGAGAGAGGGAGAAAAAGTACTTATTCAATATTTACATTTATTATTTACTGGCCACATAGAATAGAAGTTCCTGGGGGGTAAAATTTTACTTTTTAAGATTAATCTATAGTGTGCCTAACATAGTACAATTAATAAAGTATAATTCATTATTTGACTAGTTGCCAAGTCATTAGGATACCTTTTAAAGATTTTAAGAAATAAGATAAACAATATAGAAATAGTTATTACTGACTAAAGCTGGAATTAAAGCATCTCTGTCCAAGCCCTATGATAGAATAATGACACTGATTTATTCATATTTGTATTCACATTCATTCCTTCATTCAACAAACATTTATTTGGCACTTGTCTTGTGCCAGGAACTTGGAAGAAGACTAGGGATGTTCTTTGTACTCAAGGAGCTCACAGTCTAACAATAAAGGGGAGTCAACAATCAAGTCAAAGGCATGTTAAAGAAACTCAGCCAATTGTCCTTTAGTATGTTCCACTTCATTCAGGACTTTCCTGATTGTTTCCTTGTGGTGTCATTTGTTTTCTATCTGCTCCTTACTCCTTCCTCTCTTTCATTTTCTGTAAACTAGAAAGTTCAAGCTCAAGACTTAGATTCAGAATCAACTCTTTTGGCAAGAATATTTCAAGGTGGTGCTATATGTTTCACATCATATCACAGTAGGAGGCACAAAATGTCTGGTTATTCAATTTTTAATTATGTTGATCAATGGGTTCAGGTGGTGGCACCCTAAACCCTTTCATCAATTCTTCTCATATTATGAACATTACTGATGATCATTGCCTGAATCAATTATTTTACTAGAGTGTTTTTAAGTTCTATTACTTTATCTACATTAAGAAGGGGAATTCTTGGGATTCTTTAATAGAGAAGAACTTCCCCTCATCAACAAGGACTATTTGGTTACTCTGAAATATAGTCCATACTGGCCAGGTAGAATAAATGCTTAATTATTTTTCATTAACTACTAATTTTCAGAGGAAGGAGCTGGTGTCCTAGTATCTCCAAGGATAGCCAATAATTATATTTTTGTTTTGTTTTATATTTTTGGTTGCTTGCTCTCTCTCATCTCTATGAACTCATAGATTTTATAAATTCAGTGGGTTTCAATCCACTGCAGTCATTCTTTTTTTAAAAAAAATATTTTTATTGATTTCAGAGAGGAAGGGGGAGGGATAGAGAGATAGAAACATCAATGATGAGAATTATTGATGAGAATCATTGATCAGCTGCCTACTGGGGATTGAGCCCGCAACCCAGGCATGTGCCCTTGACTGGAATCAAACCCAGGACCCTTCAGTCCGCAGGCCAACGCTCTATCCACTGAGCCAAACCAGGTAGGGCTGTAGTCATTCTTGTTGATGTTAAAATTCGTTACTTTGGTTGGTGGTCCCTTCAAGCTGACTACTGTGCCTCTTCCACATGATCTTATTTGTTTGACTTTCATATCCTGGAATTAGGAGTTTCTTTAAAGAGCCTGGAAACCTTTTATGAGGAAATAGTATTTAGAAACAATAATCTGGGGGCTAGAGGTATTTATTGCTACTGGGTTGTCACTTATTTCTAGGTCTTTTTAGGGGGAAAAGTTAATAACTACATATTTAAGAAATAAAATGTCAACTAATTCAGACATTTGCATTTAAAATTTAACATTATACATTAATTTATTTTTTCTCTTACACCAAAGGTTTTATTCTGACCACAAAGTTGACCTTTGAACAACATGGATTTGAATTGTGTGGATCACTTATATGCAATTTTTTTCAATATAGTACATGTACCTCAGTGGTTGAGCATTGACCCATGCACCAAGAGGTCACAGGTTTGATTCCTGGTCAGGGCACACGCCGGGGCTGCAGGCTAGATCCCCAGTAGGGGGTGTGCGGGAGGCAGTCAATCAATGTTTTTCTCTCTCTTATCAATGTTTCTATCTCTCTTTCCCTCTCTCTTCCTCTCTTTCTAAAAATCAATAAAAACATATTTCAAAAAAATACAGTACATGTATTTTCTCTTCCCTGTGATTTGTTCATAATAACATCTTTTCTCTATCCTTTCATTGTAAGAATACAGTATATATTACATATAACATACAAAATATGTGTTAATCTATTGTTCATGTTATTGGTAAATCATCTGGTCAATATTAGATTATTAGTTAAGTGCTTGGGGGAGTAAAAAGTTATATGTGGATATTCAACTGTGTATGGGGTCAGTATCCCTAACCCATGCATTGTTAAAGGGTCAACTGTACTCATTTATTACATCTTATGACAGCTGAAAAATTACAATGCTAACAAAGACACTGAATGAAGTTTATAATTTCTTTGTAGTTCTTTCTGTCCTTAAAATATAATCCACTAAGGGTATTTAGTTCAAATAAGGGGTTCTGAAGTCACTCTAATTTTTTCTAAGTAATTATGTCATAATATGATATTTAATTATGTACATTTATTTCATCTAATTTTCAAATTATAGGTTTTATTTTCTTTTCTAATTTTATTCTTTGCCCATGTTTCTAGAGAGTGTTAATCTTGTACTTCTCGATTTTTATAAAAGCGCTTTATAAAATAGGACAATTAACCCTCTTTCTGTTATTTAGCTGTAAACATTTCTTCTTAGTTGTCAGTACCTTTTTCCTTTTCTTGTGGTTTTTTTAAACCATGAAACACATTTTTTTAAAAATTTCATGTAATTGAATTAATTGCTTTTGGGTTTTGAGTCATGGTTAGGAAGATTTCCCCTTTCCGAGACTACAAAGAAATCCATACAAGTTTTCTCCTGGTACTTGCATAGTTTTATTTTTACATTTAAAAATAAATGCAATACATTTGGAATTTATCTTGCATATGGCACGAGGAAGAGATCCAATTTTGCATTTTTCCAAATGGCTACCAGTTAGCCAACATCATTTATTTAAAAATCTATTAAAATAACTGATTTGGAATTTTCATCTTTATCATATCCTAAATTTCATATACACTGGGGTCTCATTTTGGACTTTCTCATCTGTCCCATTGGTCTATCTGATTGTTTATGCAGCAACACCAATACCACACTGTTTTAAGTGTTCAGGCTTTAATGTCTTACTATCAGGTAGGTAGAGCTAAGCTCCCCACTTCTCTCCCACACAGAATGGCTTTTCTTTGCCAGGGTTTCCCTTGGTTATTCTTCCTTGTATATTTTCCCACAAAAACCTTATTATCAACTTGTCTGACCCCAGAAAGAAAAAAAAAAGAAATCAGTTTGTATTTGTTTAGGAATCATCTTAAATTTATAGATTAATTTATGGGGAAGTGAAAAACTTGAAGTTTTATCTCCTTGTCTATGATCAGGACATATATTTCCATTTGTTCAAGTCTATTTTTATGCCTTTCAGAAGTGTTTAAATGTTTTCTTTATATAGGTTTTGCTTGTTTCTTAACATTTTATTCCAAAGAATTTATATTAGTTTGTTGCTATTTTTTTTTTAATTTCACCTGAGACTATTTTATTCATTGATTTTTAGAGAGAGTGGAAGGGAGGGGAAGAGACAGACAGACAGAGAGAAACACCAATGTGAGAGACACATTGATTGGTTGCCTCCTGCACAGGCCAACCAAGACTAGGGATTGAGCCTGCAACCTCAAGGTACCTGCCCTTGACAGGAATCAAACCCTTGACTCTTCAATCCCCAAGTCAATGCTCTAATCACTGAGCAAAACCAGCTAGGGCAGTTTGTTGCTATTTTTATGGGGGTCTTCTGACTGTGTACTATTTGTACATAAGAAGGTTACTGATTTCTCAGGCTACCTTTTAATCTATTTAAAAGCAAACAGTCATAGTCTCTTAAAAGCAAAGATTTTAGTTTTCATATAATTTTGTTTGGTGGAAGGAATAGCAGTTAAGACTTTCTTAATGCATGTGTTCCCACTGTGGGAATTACCTATGTATCACAAGGGCAAACAAAAACTCACCTTTGTATATTCATCTTTGGCCTTGGTGAGCATTCGTAAGATATCTACTTCCTTCCCCTCTCCTGAACTGAGGATCATTGGAGAGATTCCTGCTCCAGCTTCTTGATGGGCTTTCAATTGTTCATACTGAGTTAGGCTAGAAAAGTAGAGGGGAAGAGCCACACAAGGAAAAACAATTCAACACATATGATTTTTAAAACCATCCAATTCTCACCCAGTTGCTTTTATCCTGTTACTAGAGGCCCAATGCACGAATTCATGCATGAGTCAGGTCCGGCCAGCGCACTCCAATCGGGCCGGGCGGGGCGGGGGGGGGGGGCATGGGTGGTTGGCCAGCCAGCCCCACCCCCTGGTTGAACTCCTGGTCAAGGGGACAATTTGCATATTAGCCTTTTATTATATAAGATAAGCACACCATATAATAAAAGGCTAATATGCAAATCGACCGAATAGCAGAACGACCAGTTGCTATGATGCACACTGACCACCAGGGGGCAGACACTCAATGCAGGAGTTGCTCCCTGGTGGTCAGTGTGCTCCCACAGGGGTAGTGCTGCTCAGCCAGAAGCCGGCCTCACGGCTGGCAAGCACAGTGGCAGTGGTGGGAGCCTCTCCTGCCTCCGCGACAGCACTATGGATGTCCAACTGACAGCTTAGGCCCACTCCCCATGGGGAGAGGGCTTAAGCCGTCAGCTGGACATCCCCCAAGAGCTCCTGGACTGCAAGAGGGCACAGGCCCAGCTGAGGGACCCCCCACTCTGAGTGCATGAATTTTGTGCACCAGGCCTCTAGTATTAAAAATAAGACTGCTTAAGAATTAAAAGAAGGAAAATGAGATTTGAGGGAGGTCCTGAGTTCACTGACTAGATATATGAATCTAGAATAGAGGTGGCCAAACTCCAACCTGCAGGCCAAATCCTTCCCACTGCTGGTTTTTGTAGAGTTACAAACACAGCCCCTGTCCTTAGGCTGCTGCCTCAGACTGCCTGCAGAGTTGAGTAGTTGTGACAGAGTAAGTGTGACCTTGCAAAAAAATATTATCTTTGCCAACTCCTCATTAAGAGCATTTGAAAGGACTCATTAATTGCTGAGGAAACCCAATTTTAGAGTTCTCAAAAACCAAGCAAACAGCATGGCAAGTCAGAATTCCCCCTTCCTCCAAAGTGCCTTAAAGTCAAAGCGAGGTTAATACCAGGTACTCAAATCATGTGGTTCTCTGGAAGTTTGGAAACAGTGAAGATTCCATTCTAGGAGAGGGGCATATAAAAAACAGAGCAATAAGGCATGTCTTCTGTTTTCCTGAAAACAATACAGAAGGGAGACCATATGCTCCTATATGCTGCTAGGTGGCATTGATAAAAACACTTGTTCCTTTTGTGTGCTTTGATTTTTAGCTCAAATTCTTTTATAATTGCCATGAAGTTGGTCAAAGAGATCTGAGTATGTACTGAGAGGTTTAATTCTAACTGAGGAAGGGCTAGAATCCATACATATCAGCTGCTATTGCTAGTCAACAATCCATTTCCTGCCCAGCCCTTAAGTAATTAGTGCAGAATGCTGGCGATTTTAACATGGCCTCTTGGTTGAGCTGCAGGGTAATTTTTAATCTACATGAAATCCTGCTATTATTATCCATTGCACAGTTGACAATAACATGAATGTTCTACGAACTAGTTGTTACAGTGGTAAATACCAGTTTGAACACAATCACAATCTGAAACCTGAGCTAGTTACCTAAAATTAGCTATCATCACAAGCTAGATTTTCAGAAATCAATTATATTTACTGTATATCAAGGTGGTTCCAAAGTTTCATTTTTGGGAATCACTTTTTAGTAATTTCATTGCCCACAATTTAAAATTGCAAATGTTTCTTTAGCATATAGAGCTGTTTTTGTCAACTCATATGGGCAGCAGCTACACTATGTGCTCAGCTGAGTCCAGTCATGACCTGAGATACAGCACAAGTGGGAAATATGTCATTCTGGGCTCTAAACCAGCGGTCGCCAACCTTTTGGACATCACGGACCACCGGTTGGCGACCGCTGCTCTAAACCATTCCCATAAACAGCAGGGAAGTGTGACTGCCTCACAGCACAAGCACTGGGCTCAAGAACTGCTCAACAGATGGGAGAAATCACAAGGTAGCATGAGATTAGAAGAAAAAGA